GGGGAGGGTGACGGCGCAGCGCTCGCGGGCCTCGCCCGCTGGGGCGCGCCTCCGGGTACCCCGGGGCGTCAGGCTCGCGTCCTGCCCCCGGGAGCCCAGGCTCGTGGGGGAGACGGTGCCGCGTGCTAAGAGCAGGAAAGAAAGAGAATGCATTTGGAATCCAGATGGGTTTGAATCTCGGCCATGCTTTTAAAAATTAACTGTGGGGCCTTGGGCTACCCAGCTCTCCTTTCTGAATGTTCCCTCTTCTGCAAAATACAGATGGTTCATTCAGGTTCATTCCACGAACGTTTCTTGAGCGCTTAGCAGATGTCAGGCTGGAGACAGTAGAAAAGCAAAACAAGTTCCTACTCTCCAGGAGCTTATAACGGGGTGTGTGTGTGTGTGTGTGTGTGTGTGTGTGTGTGTGTGTGTGAGTGTGTGTGTAGATGGGACACAGGACAGAAAATTTAAACCAATGTTATTTCAGCTTGTGAGAAGTGTGATGAAGATAATAAAATGGTGATGTAACAGAGTGTCTAGAGGAAGGATACTTGAGACAGAGTGGTCCGGGAAGGCCTCTGTGAGGAGGTGAATGGATGCACAGACCCCAGAAAAGGCACCAAGGCTAAGATGGGTGAAGGCAGGGTCCAGAGAGAGGGAACTGCAGGTGCAAAGGCCCTGAGGACTGTACTTCAGAACAGATAAAAGGCAGTGCAACTGGAGACCCAGGAGAAAGGGAGAGGAGATGGACAAGACCACTTTTTGTATGGTTATGGTGGGGATTGTCAAATGGTCATAGAATTCCAGGCACACACAGACCCTCAGTGCTATGACAATTACATTGTAGAAGCTGGGATCCCAGAGGAAGGGGACTCTGACAGCTTAGGGCAGTCACAGAAAGCTGTACAGAGGAGGTGACATCGAAGCTGGGCCTCGTGAGTGAGGTAAGATTGCATCTGACAGACAAGGGAGGAAGAGAGTGTTAGTCAGTGGGTACAGCTTGGGCAGAGACACTATGGCTAGAAACGCAGGGTATGTAAGTGACAGGTGATGAGAGGGCAGCCAGCAGCCAGAGTGTGCAGGGCGTGGGAAAGAAAAAGTTCACAGGCTGCTGGTAGAGCTGCAAATTGGCACATGCTTTTTGGAAGGCAATTTGGGAATGTTTACCAAAGACAGAAATGCATGCTCCTTTTGAGCCAACAGTTTCCCCTTCCAGGAATATATCCCTTGGATCTTTACTTGCACAAGCACACAAAGACATTTGTGCAAGGATGTTCATTGCAGCATGGTTTCTTATAGCAAAAAACAGAAAAGAACCTAAGTGCCCATCTGTAGAGGACTGGCCAGTTAATTGTGGTACATCCACTTGGTGAAATGCAATGCTGCCTAGAAAGGATTAGCCAGGCCCATGTGTATTGTCATGGGTGCAGAACTGTAAGGTGTGGGACAAGCTAATTTTGATACAGAGATAATGTTATATATATCAATCACATATTATATTCATTATGTAGACACCTTCTATACAAATATATACAAACTTACTTGAANGGTGCAGAACTGTAAGGTGTGGGACAAGCTAATTTTGATACAGAGATAATTTTTTATATATCAATCACATATTATATTCATTATATAGACACTTTCTATACAAATATATGCAAACTTCTGAATATACAAAGAACACATCTGCAAGGACTTCTAATAAAACCATTGACAGTAGTTCACCCTTCTCTCCCTAGTTGAGAGGACTCGGAGCGAGAAGCTTTTCTATTTCATCACCTTTGATTATTTTACCTCGAATAGTATTTTATTTGTTTAATTTCAAAAGCTAGCACAGGGGTTATCTATCATTATCACTGACCTCTCAGCATTGGAATTTCCCCCTTCCTATGTTTGGGGATCCCCCACCTTATGAGGCAGAGCTACCTCCTCCTCTAGGAGCCCCCAATGCTTTCCCAGCCTTCCTTGCAGCTAGACCTTAGCCCCAGATACCCCAGCCCCAGACTCTGAACCTGAAGCTAGTGCCAGAGCAACAGAGAATGAGGGAGTCTGCTCTGGTGAGGACAGGTGGTGGTGGTGGTGGTGGTGGAAGCTCCTGCCAGGGACTACCTGCGGCAGTGACACTGCTTCTGGGAGCATCCAGCATGACAGGGCAAGCTGCACTGTCTGTGCCCTGCTGGAGCATCAGGGGAGTCTTCCTGGCCGTGCTTGGCAGTGTGATTTGGGGCATCATTCCAGGCCGAGTGGTCTCCAGGGAGAATTCTCTGGCTTTCCCAGAGAGTTTCTGAGCTGCCCAGTATTGGTTAATAAACTTAGCTGCTTAAATTAGCCAGAAGTGATTTCTGTGGTTTATGACTAAAAAGCCCTGAATGTCAGAGTAGGTGATGAGGAAGGACCCAGCAGGAGGGAGGAGAGGAGGGAGAGAGAAAGAAAACCAGATGAAGGGTGTCTGTACTTCCAGAACTGGGAAGGCACTATAGGATTTTAAGCACAAGAGAGACCTACATGAGATTTGCATTTTATGGGGCCAAATTGGGGGTGGGTTGGAGAGGGACATGGCTAGAAGCAGCAGGGCCAGTGAAGAGGCTGAAGCAGAATCCACAGGAGGGATGACAAAGCCACTGGGGTGGAGGGGCTATAGAATTTGGGTATCATTCAGGAAGAAACTTATTAGGTGCTGGGGAAGAGGAAGAGCCTAGGAAGATTCCCAGGTTCCTGGTTTGGACATCAAGGTGAATAATGCTGCTGCAAAATGAAATATACATTGGGGGGTGGAGCAGTTTTTGTGTGGGGGGAGTGGTGAGCTTGTTTGGGGCTGGCCAAATGTGTGTGGCCTGGAAGACAAGCTGGAGAAGGTGTCCAGCAGACAGTAGGATATCTTAGCCCAGAGCTCAGGCATTCACTCCAGACTGGCTTCAGGTATAGATTTGGGCCATGGTATAAGAGGAAATCTTAACACATGGCTTTCCAAGGAGGGAAACACCTTGATTTGTAGTTTGCTAATACCCATGGTGTAAATTCTCCCACCATGGTTAATTTCAAGCTGTGAATATGATGTCACTGAACAGAGAACTGGGAAGAGATATGCTGTATTTTTACCATACAGATAAAACAGATTTAAAAATTGATCTTAAGAGCATAGATAATAGTAAAATGAAGTTATATTTTTATTATATTTGCTTTGTGTGTTTATTACATTTGTTTTTAACATAATTTATATCATCATAAGCTTATATTATTTAATTTTTGATAATGGCTTTTAAAGAATAGTTTATTGATTTTTAGAGAGGAAGGAACGAGAGAGAAACATCGATGTGAGAGTGAAGATTGGCTGCCTCCTGCATACCCCCCACTGATGTGCCCTTGAAGGGGAATTGAACCTGCAACATTTTGGTGCACAGTATGACACACAAGCAACTGAGCCACACTGGCCAGGGTATGGATTTTACAAATGGCTCATAAAACTCCTGAAACTTTAATAACTATTCTCATGAGCTGGTCCAAACCAGCCGAGTACACCATTGGATATGGAGTCATTAGCATAGAGGTGGTGGCTAAAGCCAGGGGATGTGATTGCCCAGGGGAACATGGAGAGTGAAAAGAAGAGATGGTTCAGAACTTAAAACTCAGGTCCAGAATCCTGAGGCACTGCAACCTTCAGAGGCAGAGGAGCCTGGGGAAAAGACTGAGAGGGAGCAGTCCAGAGAAGAGGGGAAGCTAGAGAGAGTGGTAGCAGGGAAACCAAGGGCAATTAGAGGACAACTGGATAAATGCTACAGAGAGGCCAAAGCCATGAATAGTGAAGTCCTAGGATTGGCAGCTGTTGGGCTGTTGGGGAGTTGCATAGGAGGGGAGAGGGTCTGGGAGCCCAGGAGGGAAGGAGCATCTAGGGAAAGTGGCCAGGAGAAAGTGACATTTGAGCTGGGTTTTGAAAGATGAGAAGTGGTGGTAAGTATTCCTGGCAGAGGATCTGGGGGTGGGAAAGTCCAGAGTGTAGAGGGAACAGAAAACAGATTAAATTCTGAGTCAGATGGGAAGTCATTTGGCTGCGAGTACAGAAGCTTAGGCAAAGCAGGTGTTTATTCTTTCCTTAAAGAAGTCAAGGGGCAGCAGCCCATAGTTTGTGATGACTCCCACTTTCCTGCTCCACCTTTCTTAGTACATGGATTTTACCTTCGAGGCTACTTCAGGGTCCAAGATGACTGCTGCAGCTCCAGCTATCAAGTCTACAGAGAAAACAGGAAGAGAGAAAGCAGAGTGAAAAGAGTGCCTTCCAGGTGTCTATCTCTTTCATAAGGAGCTTTCCCAGAAGCTAACCAAACAACTTCTGCTTCTCTCTCATTGGCTATGCCTAGCTGCAGCGAGGCTGGGAAAGTGTGGGCAACCAACTGGGCGTATGGCTTCCAGAATCAAAGCAGAAGGGAGAATGGTCACTGGGTGAGCCACTAGCATCTCAGTCACTTTCTACTTCCCCTCAGTTTTTTTTTGTTTGTTTTGAAAAATGTCAAACCTAGAGAAAATTGCAAGCATAGCACAATGAGTGAAACCTCCAGAAAAGTTGCAATATCAGCACAATGACTACCTTTCACCTAGGTTCACCAGTTGTTAACATTTGCTACATTTTTCTTGCTCTCTCTCCACATGTGCTTTCCTCAGAGGAAGAGAGGATGGTTACTAGGCTGCCACTTGCACAGTGGATCCTTTA